GTCCATCAGTGGCTGTTAGCCACCAGGTATAGATAGGGACTCTCAGTCTGGGGCAAGTGATGCTCGGTCTTCTTGGTGCTTGGGGGGGGGGGGAACAGTGGGAGGGCTTCTAGTGTCCTGGCCCCACTGCTGGACCTCCTGATGACACCTGGTATTTTTGGCCACTGTGTGACACAGAGTGTTGGACTAGATGGGCCATTGGCCTCATCGAACATTGGCTTCTCTTATGTTCGTATGTCTGGGGCAAGTGATGCTCTGTATTCTTGGTGCTTGGGGGTGGGGGGCAACAGTGAGAGGGCTTCTAGTGTCCTGGCCCCTGGTATTTTTGGCCACTGTGTGACACAGAGTGTTGGACTAGATGGGCCACTGATTTGATCCAACATTGGCTTCTCTTAGGTTCTTATGTAACTGCCCAATACACATAAACACTTCATAACTTATACAGTGACCACAGATGCCTTAATTTTGGGTGTTCTGCTTGCTACTGATCCTGCGTTTGGACTCTGGAGATAGTTTCCGTTTCAGAAGATAGCGTTATCGGTCTGAAGTAGACCGACTACATTTTGATTCCAGTAGCACCTTATGCTAGCCCGATCTCATCAGAGCTCAGAAGCTAAGCAGGGTCGGCCCTATCTAGTATTTGGATGGGAGACCCCCAAGGAAGTCCAAGGTTGTTACGCAGCGGCAGGCAATAATAAAGGGAATACAAAAGATTACAGGACACAACTGACCTTTGCTCCTGAAGACCGTCCTCTTGAATAGTTGGGTCAATGTGTCCTGTTCAAAGAACAGAAGAGAAGAAGAAGAAGAGATTGGATTTCTACCCCGGCCTTCACTACCCAAAGGAATCTCAGAGCGGCTCACAAACTCCTTTCCTTGCCCCTCCCCACGACAGACACCCCGTGAGCAGTGTTCCCTCTAAGCTGAGTCAGTGTGAGCTAGCTCACAGTTTTTTAGCCTCTGGCTCACACATTTTTGTCTTAGCTCAGGAAGGATGGCTCCAGAGCAAACTAATTTATGCAGCAGCCCAATCGCTCGCTCGCAACTTTAATGCCAGTCGCTCACAAAGTAGAATTTCTGCTCACAAGACTCCACAGCTTAGAGGGAACATTGCAGGGAGGTGGGACTGAGAGAGCTCTTTGGAGAACTGCTCGTGAGAAAACAGCTCCGAAAGAACTTGTGACAGACCCAAGGTCACACCAGCAGCTGCATGTGGAGGAGTGGGGAATCAAGGCAAAAAAGACACTGATTTCTACTCTACTGGCAGTGGCAAGGATATTGATGGCATATACCTGGAAAGATAAAAAGGTAACTTCCTTGCAAATGTGGCTCTCTATACTGGGATCACTTTGTGTCAGGTAAGATCTCAAATGGTATCTTTATGCCTCAGTCGGAGAAACACTTAGAAGACTTCAGAGCTCTATGGATCCCTGTGACAGAATGTTTGAAGGAACACAAAGTCATTCCTAAAAATGAGAATTGCAAGGAATTGTAGAAAGAGTCAAACTTTGGTGCAACTATCCTCTGTGTTAATAGACTATATATATTGCCAAAGTTGTAACATTGCCAAATACTGAGATAATGAGGTTATTTAGATTCCTTTTATGTTTATTATGTTAAAGATGTTTATGTTATAGTTGGATATATGCTGTGCATCCCCAAAATAATAAAAAACAATTATTTAGTGCCAGTTTGGTGTCGTGGTTGGGAGCGTGGACTCTGATCTGGGAGAACCGGGTTTGATTCCCCCACTCCTCCACATGCAGCTGCTGGTGTGACCTTGGGTCAGTTACGGTTCTCTCAGAGCTCTTCTCTCAGGGGTAGTCCTCAAAAGAGCTCTCTCAGCCCCACCTGCTTCACAGGGTGTCTGTTGTGGGGAGAGAGGGGGAAGGAGATTGTAAGCTGCTCAGAGACTCCTTCAGGTAGTGAGAGGCGGGGTATAAATCCAATTTCTTCTTCTTCCTCTTCTATTCCTTTTTTTTTTTTTAATGATGTGGAGGCAGGGAATGGCAAAGCCTTGAAACCCCGTATGAAGTCACCAGAAGTCAACTTTGACTTGATGGCATCTTACAGCATAGCACCTTAGAACCCAACAAGATTTTCAGGCTGTAAGCGACGCGATTTGGGGTATATGTATGGGGAGAATTTACCAAGATGTGCGCTTGTTATTCCTGTTGAAGTTTTGGAATGCCACTCTATTTAACTTTTTTTAAAAGTTCCGTTCTGCAGCTTAATTTCCGTCAGGTCCATTTCCCAGTAAGCATGTTTTGAATCAGCGGCTTAATTGACACCGCCTCTATCCATTATCTTCCCCGCCCACCCTCTGCACTTAAGCCTCATATCCCCAGAGTATGTGTTGAGCTCATAGAATTCTGCTGCATTACCAAATATCCTTCACTATGCAAGCAAAGCAATCCTCAAACCCCTCCAGAACCAATGACAGCCAATTTCAATTACATGCCGGTCGTCTGGCTTAATGGTTCCTGGGTCGGGACCAAAATCCCACTCTCAAATCCTAAAGCAATTAACTTCACAACAATCTTTACACATTACGCCCATGCTGGGATGTGCCAGAAGTGGATGTCGAGCATTGCGCCGTTGCGATCTGGTGCAGACAAGGGAAATGGAACCCGTCCAGGGCAATCTGCAAAAGGAGCCGGTTTAAATTGCAGTGGAATGAAGGAGAAGAGATTGGATTGATACCCCGCCCTTCACTACCCAAAGGTGTCTCAGAGTGGCTCACAAACTCCTTCCCCTCCCCCTCCCCACAACAGACACCCTGTGAGGTAAAAGAAGAAGGAGAAGAGATTGGATTTATACCCCACCCTTCACTCCCCAAAGGTGTCTCAGAGCGGCTTACAAACTCCTTTCCCTTCCCCTCCCCACAACAGACACCCTGCGAGGTAAAAGAAGAAGAAGAGGAGATTGGATTTATACCCCGCCCTTCACTACCCAAAGGAGTCTCAGAGCGGCTTACAAACTCCTTTCCCTTCCCCTCCCCACAACAGACACCCTGTGAGGTAGGTGGGGCTGAGAGAGCTCTTTTGAGGACTACCCCTGAGAGAACAGCTCTGAATGAACTTGTAACTGGCCCAAGGTCACACCAGCAGCTGCATGTGGAGGAGTGTGGAATCAAACCCGGTTCTCCCAGATTAGAGTCCGCGCTCCTAACCATGACACCAAACTGGCTCTAATGCCATAGAGTCCACCCTCCAGAGCAGCCATTTTCTCCTTTCCCTTCCCCTCCCCACAGCAGACACTGTAGGTAGGTGGGGCAGAGAGCCAGTTTGGCGTAGTGGTTAAGTGTGCGGACTCTAATCTGGGAGAACCGGGTTTGATTCCCTTCTCCTCCACTTGCACCTGGCTGGAGGACCTTGGGCAAGCCATAGTTCTGATAAGAGCTGTCTTATGTTTCTGTCAGAGCTCTCTCTGCCCCGCCTACCTCCCAGGGTGTCTCTTGTGGGGAGGGGAAGGGAGAGGAGTTTGTAGACCGCTCTGAGACTCCCTTGGGTAGTGAAGGGCGGGGTAGAAATCCAATCTCTTCTTCTCCGGGAGAAGCCAGGGCTCTTTTTGTAGAAAAGCCCAGCGGGAACTCATTAGCATAATAGGCCACACCCAACAGCAGGAACTCATTAGCATATTAGGCCACACCCTGACAGCACAGCTCATTCGCATATTAGGCCACACACCTCATGTTACCAGAAGTGTGGTCACCCAGCCACACCCACCTATTGCTTCTTATTCTCTTTATCTTGTTTGTTGTCAAAACCCAGGGCCTTTTTGCTTGTTATGCCACACACCCCTAATTGTAGCCAATCCTAATGAGTTTCTGCTGTTGGGTGTGGCCTATTATGCTAATGAGTTCCTGTTGGGCGTGGCCAACTCAGGAGCCAGCCGGCCCAAAAATAGCCCTGAGGAGAACTGATCTCTGCAGTCGGGAGACCTGGAGGTTGGGAAATCCAGCATATTGGCTTGGGTCCAGTGTTCCCTCTAAGCTGAGTTAGTGTGAGCTAGCTCACAGTTTTTTAGACCCTGGCTCACACATTTTTGTCTTTGTTCAGGAAGGATGGCTCCAGAGCAAACTAATTTATGCAGTATCCAAATGGCTCGCTCGCAACTTTAATGCCAGGAGCTCAGAAAGTAGAATTTTTGCTCACAAGACTCCACAGCTCAGAGGGAACATTGCTTGGGTCCTATGCACTGTTCCCTCTAAGCTGAGTTTGTGTGAGCAAGCTCACAGTTTTTTAGCATTCAGCTCACACATTTCTGTCTCAGCTCAGGAAGGATGGCTCCAGAGCAAACTAATTTATGCAGTAGCCAAATCGCCCGCTCACAACTTTCATGCCAGTAGCTCACAAAGTAAAATTTTTGTTCACAAGACTCTACCACTTAGAGGGAACATTGGTCCTATGCGCGGGGCACCAGAAAGCTCTAAAAGAGGCCAGGGGCAGCCGTGTGTCTCTAATGTGGGTGCAGAAAACAGGATTATTAGTTCAACTTCCCTTACCCCCGTGCAAGAGGACACGTGCGAGGTTCTTCTGCGCGGGGCGCATCATGTGTCGAATCACACCAAACGTGCCGGCTCTAGCCTCCCCAGGTTGCAGCTCTCCCTGTGCATGGGCCGGACTCTCGCTTTACTCGCGAGTAGACACATCCCCAGCCGCTCCTTCATCCACCCGCGCCGACTTCAGTTCGAGTCCGCACCGGGGCGCTTCCTCCGGAGCAACGCCCCGTTACTTAGGGAGTCGAGGCCATTGAGAGAAGCCGGGTTTACTCGCGAGTAAAAAAAAAGCCTGCCAGCGAAAAAAGATCGAACAGCGCACCTGCTCCCAAGAGACCGCACCAACGAATGAATGAAAACGCCCTCTTTTCTCCCCCATGCGCCATTGGGCGCATGCGCGCTCTCCCGCCCCGCCCCTCGGGCCAAGCCCCGCCCCATTGCCTTTAGGGGCGGAGCTTCGAGATGGAAAGTGCAGAAAAGGCGGGGGGGGGGGGAGGAAGAGCCCGGGCTGCCTTGAGCCGAGCTGGATCCGTCCCTCCTGCCTGCGAGGTAAGCGGAGATGCTGGATCGATTTTTTTTTCGCTCAGTGGGTCGGATTGGAGGGATCTAAGAGATCCCCTGCAGCCGGAGATCCCTTGCAGCCGGGGATCCAGCTGCAAACGGTGCTGGGATCCAGCTGTTGAGGAGCCGGGGTTCCTCTTGGAGAGCCCCTGATGCGCGGGGGCCGCGCATCAGGGGCTC